TAGTGAAGCACAACCACTGTACTGTATGTAATAAGCAAACATGGCTTCCCCATATGCATACATGATTATATATTATACTAGAAAGATATGTATTAAAACATGGACACGTGTTGATAAGATTATTTATATCAAGCTGGTCACTTTTGCCTCTTAATTTAACAATAATTAAAAAACTATACATTCCCATCATGTACCAATGAAAGCCCAACAAGAGAAGTAATTATTCAGTGCTAGCTGGCACACAAACTACATAGTAGGGATGTTCAGATACCAAGTACCGTACTCCGTACAAGTAAAAGTACATGCATAGATACTTTTCCAGGTCCAAGACTAGACTAGAGAAAAATTCAAAAGTTAGGAGGCAGCTGTCATTTTTAAGGAGCACACGGAGCTCCTGGGTTTTGTACATCTCTGTTTTAATGTATGATTTAAAAAAAAATATATATATAAAAGGGATGCACCGGAACCATTTTTTAAAGTACGAGTACTGATACTTGTCTAAGTACTCACAGATATAAGTACTGATACATTTTTGTTTATTGTCATGTGACAATTTTTCTAAAACAATACAGACTAATGATTTCAGGACAGTGGTGGAGTGCCAGAGCCAGGTCCAGCTGCAACCTCTGCAACCCTGGTAGTTCTCTTGAAAATGCCAAGTATCGGCACTGGTATCTGAACTGGTGTCTGGACATCCCTACTACAAAGCAGTTTAACGGAAACACTATCAGCAACATTTGTGTCTAAACCACAGATTTTTAGGAAGTACATGTACCCCAAGGGATAATACTGATGGGACAGGGTGTGTGTCTGCTTTCTATAGTAAGTTCATCATTATAGTTTCAAGTTTAAACAAATAATCAGTCATACATGCACAGCTATCAAGATGTATTGGTTAAGACACATCTTCAATGCAATTAGGGGGTACTGGTAATAAAGGTACTCAAATCAAGGTCTATTTCATACTAGGTTACCCATAGCAAGGGCTCAAGTCCAATTGCACCTAAACATGACCGTCCCCCAGATATTCTTTAATAGAGTTATGCCTACCATTTTGTAAGGGATCTTCAGTCCAATCACAAGATGTCACAGGTCCTGTTTCTTCTTTACCTCCCACTGGAGATGGGCAGGTTCTTAAGGGTGCCGAGAACAGCGACACTTAATGATGTGCACCACTCCCATAAGCATTCCTCTGTGAGTCAGGAGGTGGGTCCTTGATGTCATGGGCGCACAGGAAGTGCTGGGCATCAGAGGAATGGCGCCAACATTTTTTATTTTACCAATGTCTATGGAGAACATTTTTTATTTTAACCAATGCCTAATTTTTATTTAAATATGGTTAGAACTGGCTAGGCTAGGTCTGCCCATGTGTGGTGCCTGTGCAATCACTTTTGGAGGAAAAATCTTCCACTGGCAATTCAGCATGCACATAGGGAAACCTAAATTGTGGCAATAAAAGCTGTAAATTAAGTATTATATTATTAAGGAAGGGTGTCCTAGTTTGGGTGCTCATATAGTTTAGTTAGCTGACTTAGCATGGCAGTGTGTATTCACATGTATTTGCAAATGTGTACAACAAAAACTTCTGTTTTTAATTTAATGTTAGAAACAGTATAATTTTTCTGTAGCAATTGATGAATTGAGTGCGAGAATGTGCACATTTTGTGCAGGACAATGTGTAAAGTGTAGTAACCCAGTAACTTAGAGTAGCCAACCAACTCATATTTCTTGTTCAGGCCCTTATCGCACTGACTGAATGAGTAGTTGTTACAGATTCATTTACTTTGAACTCTATAACTTCCCTTTCCAGTTTTTATCAAATACTTTTAACCCATAAGGAGCCAAAAATATGCAAATATAGATGGACACATGTATATAGATGAATTGGCTTGGACTAAAAATGTTTGGTACTGAATTGCAGTTACTATTAGGCCACATTACTCTACAGTATTATTAGAGAGTTACAAAGAGGTGACAAGGTGACCCTTTTTCAATTATTTACCCAATAGAATTAAACATTACATACGGGCCGCAATCATTTTACGTGGGGTGCATGAAAATGTAAGGCCAGAAAGATCTATAGGCATAGTACTTGTGGTGGGAGCCTGCCAATGGATTAGACACTGAGCATCAAAATCTGCTATCTACCCATGTTTTTTCAGGAATGTGAGTTATAAATGACCATCATTATTCTGAGGAAGCAATACTTGCTTCATCTATTGGTAGTGGACTGTTCCCTTTCACTGGGCTGCATTTAAATATCAGGATAACACTAAAGATTGTATTTTGGAATCATAGTTAATATCTGAAATGTTCAGTTTCAAAGTTTAGTAATCCTCTAAGTAAAGTGTATTAGGGATATGCAGTCAGCAAGATTTCTTTGTCACGTTGGAAGTGAATAAGTTAAACACTGATTGAAAGTGTTTTTTGGTGCTTTAAATATGGATACCATTAGGAATAAGCTATTAAGCTCCGTGTCATACGTTCCAGAAACAAATCTCAAACTGTCAAGGGCCTTTAACATCTAATATCTAAAACATGTATTGAGAATCTTCTAAAATGGTAATATCATGTCACTTCCCAATTAAATGAGGATAAATCTTTCCATATGACTCATAAGGAAAAAAATTAAAAAATAAAACTGTGAAGTGTACTTTATCTATCATTTGATATTTATTAAAGGAGAACTATGGGGTCAGGTCTTTTCCCCATAGTTCTCCTAAGGGTCATGGGAGTCACAAACTAGCGTTCTCCAGTGACCCAAAGCTCAGTATACCGCGAGCTACAGCTTGCGGTATACTGAGACGCCGCAGCCGGGACGGATTCCGACATTGCTGTCGAGATCCACCCAGCTGCGGGATTGACAGCTGGCTCTGCCTATCTAGAGGCAGAGCCAGCTGTGCCCGCCACCTCCCCCGTCCGTTCCGCCAGTCAGCGCTGGAGGAACGGACAGGGGAGGGGAGAATCCCTGCAGGGAGCCATGAGTGACAGTCATCGAGAAGTGAGCGAGCAACGGTATGTGCTCGCTCATTTCCCGATCTATTGAGCCGACCTGTGACAGTTTCATTGTCACAGGTCGGCTCAGATTATGAGTCTGAGTGAAAATCACTTGCCTCATAATTCTCCTTTAAACCAAGTGATTAATTTATCTGGAGTATGAGCAACTACTGAACTTACCAGAGGAGGTTGATAAATATAATCAATAGATCACAGTACTGGTGTCTTCTGCTGCAACAAGAGTTGTATTTTGGCACAGAGGTTCCTAGTGCAGAAGAGTTCAGAGTGGAATAAAGGGTTTACATTTACATAAGGGAGGGTACGTGTTAGTGTTACAGGGAGGATTAGGGTATTGTAAGGATACAGTAAGAATTACTGAGGCTGATTTACTAAAGTAAATTGGAATCTTCACTCAAAAAATTGTGAAATATTCTCCTAAATGATCTAATCATGTGAAAAACATGTACACATGAATGGGTATTCAAAGTAAACAGGAATTTGCTTTTCACATATTTGGATAATTGACGTAAATATTCACACAATTTATAAAGGAGATTTCTGAACTATTTTAGTAAATTAGCCTCAACTAGCGTTGATATCCTGGAGCTTAAAGCTAATGTTAGGCCACGAAAGCAAAATAAGAAAAGTGGCCTCATGGGAATTGTCGCCCCTATCACCCATGTGTTTTTTAAAACTATTTATATTCAAATAGAGGTGTGGGGTAACTGTTAAGTACATTTCTCTCTGGGACTGCTTTGCTGGTTCTTTCTGCTTTGTCTTTCAGGTTACAAGCTGCCTGCTGTTGCTAGGAAGATTTACCTCAGTTGCTGGACAGACCTTCAGTCAGCTGAGCACAGGATTGGTGACAGACTCCTGGCGGGAAAACAGCTGACCAATGAGTGGAACCTTTCACCTCTATAGTCACTCCTGTCACTGGACAGTGTCAGCAGTTACCTCAGGACTGCCAGCTGGACTCACCTCTGGATTAGCTTCATAATTCCTTTTGGATCTTTTCACCTGCTTCCCAACGCACCCTCCCCTTTGCTCTACTTTCCATTGTCGCGGTCAACCTTTATGGGGTAGTTTTGCTGCTTGAGTCGTAGTGACTAAGCATGCTGGTCTGTTAATGGTTAACAGTTTGGGTAATGTTGCCCACTTTGTGGGTGGACAGTGGTTGGTAAATGGTAATTTGGTTGGTGTAAGTTATTGCTGCTTGAGTCGTAGTGACTAAGCATGCTGGTCTGTTAATGGCTAACAGTAGTTTTGTTTGGTAATAATAAATATATTTTTCCACAATCATTGTTGTGTTTTACTTTATTATTTAGGTTTACTGTTATAGTATGATGGGTGTCAATGGGGAGTACAATCCCATGTGTTGTAATATATGTTTCATGGACAACTTTTTTTATATATAGATAGATCAACACTGACAGGGTATGAAAGGACAATTTTGTTTTGGACAAATGTAGGCAATACATCAGGACACATAGCATCTATATAGTATTTTGGTTGGTGGTACTAATATGTAAACACATGTCATCAAATACATGCTTTCACAGATTTCACTGCCAACCACTATCCCTGTATGATTTTTTAAAATGTATTTTTCTTTACAAAGAGTACATCAGGCACAGTGAGACTCTTCCGTCTGTTATAGAATAATGTGGGAAACTGAAGCCACGAATTCCATTTATAAATCTTACCACTGTAGTTTTCAAGACATTTAAGAAGAAAGTGGATGATTAGGCCTACCACCAGCATCCACCTGTGATAAAACCATTGGTTTTGGGTTGACTGATCCTTTTAACTCTAAACCTTTCAAAACCATTTAGTAAAACAATATTATGTTTGTTAAATTAAGACCACTGCAGTAGGTATTAGAGATTATATTTTTGTATTTAGCATATACACAAAGTGCATGAAGACAGGCACACGGTGAAAAATGTTGATAAAAATAATTTTGATTAATGAGCTCAAATGTGTATAAAATGGCTGCCAACTTGCTACACACATATGTCAGCCTGATTATTATTGGTAACAACTGGAGAAGGTTTGCTTTTAGCTCCCTCTGTCCCACCTTTTGATGTGTCAATGAATAGCAGTCTTGGTGTCAACAAAGACATCAGTATTCTTTTGTACTCCTTGCGGAAGTTTTGATTGAGAAGACCATAGATGAATGCATTGAGGCAACTGTTAAAGTAGGCCATGAAGTAACTCAATACAAACAGCCATTTTGGAATCTTCGGAGCAACCTGAAAAGGGTTGATGGCCACTGCTAGGCCAATAAAGTTTAAAGGTCCCCAACAGACCGCAAAAAGGACAAACACAACAAACATAGTCAAAAAGTTCCGTAGGTCTGTTTGTGTCAGTTTCTGCTTGCAGCCTTGTCTCACTCTGTGCTTGACCTGAATGACTAAAACCCATATCCTCATGTAGCAGAATGTCACCACAGCCAAAGGAACAAGAAAATGCACCACAACCACTGTTATTGTGTATGAAGAACTGACTGTTTGGGCAAAAGTACATGAGAAAATCCTTGGGTCATACTGTAGAGATCCAACAAAAAAGTTTGGCACAATTGCAATAACAGTCAGTATCCAAGTCAAACAGAGATAACAACATGTGCTTTTCTGGTTATAAAGCTTATCATACCGCAGACTGTGGCAGATATAACAGTATCTATTAATGGCTATGGCTGTAATGTTGAAGATAGAACCGATGACACTTAGTCCCATAAGAAATCCACTAATTTGGCAATGAATATTACCCAGCGTCCATCCATTATGGAAAATAGCTATGAGGATTACCGGATACGGGTACACCGCCACTACAAGATCCGCAACAGACAAACTGACGACAAAGATGTTGCCTGAAAATGCAAAAATTAAACATGGTTAATATTGAGTATCAAACAATAACAAATGATAAGTGAACCGTGAACAATTAAAAAATGAATCAATTATATCAAATATTTTTTCATTTGCTTTTTTTTGTGGAGCTACAGGGCCATCCAACTGAACATACTAAAAAGTCTGGCCTTTTACTTTTTCAATAAAATAATGTATTTTCTCAGCTTATCACAGTTGGAATTATAATTAACGCCTTTAATAAATAGTCTTCACAAGATGACAATAGAACTAGAGAAGGAGATTTGGAACATAAGCTGATAAAAACCTTCAGCATAGAGGGAATATAAGGATACAGATAGCAAAGTCTGTGGGTGTAAACTATAAAATATTACATCTAAGAGATATGACTTCTGAAAAGTATATCCCCATTCAGGCACAATATTTTGCTGTAATACTGTTATTGGTAGTTTATACTTTTAATACAGATTAAAAGGTAATTCCCAGTTCAAATATAAGGACAGGGTCAGGACAAATGGAAAAAGTGTGATTAGTGCGGAAATGTGTTTCATGGAGGTGAAATTATGTTTACATCCTGTTCTTGGTTGATTGGTATAGTACTGTATTCAAAGAACCAGTTTAAACCCTCTTTGAAGCTCCACATATGTGCAACCTTGCATGTGTAGTTGACAGACATCAAAGGACACGTATAATATGATGTGTCTGCCAAGATAGCTGCCCATTTGGCACGTAATCTCAACACCTAATACTATATTTGATGTACAGTACTTGTGATCTCATTGGCATTACTAGCATCTCTCTTAGATTACCATAGTCCCAGTCTCGTTCTGCAGACTCTTTTGAACATCTGGTCCCTCTAAGAGGCATCTAGGTACTAGGCCCAATAAGTAGAGGGATTTGTCCATAACCACCAGGCTCTATGCAGCTAACCTGCATTACCGTGGTGGGCCCTACTTATACTTTTAGAGCAGCCCAGGGTGTACAAAAAGTCCCTCTATGGCTTTGTTCTCTAATCCAATGCTTAAAAGACCTCAAGCAATTTTTTCATACACTGACCAGCTTCTAAACCTCACTTGGTGTTAGATATTTTCTGCCTCCATGCACTCCGTTGATGGTTGCTTGCCATTTCTCAGGGAAAGTGCTTTTATGGTGACAACAGTGGTCCATATCTGTGTAATGTGTGATGTAACAGCCACTTGTCTCCATCAAAAGCCTGCTTGGCAGGGTAATAACACAGGAGCACAACTGAGAGGCAAGGACAGGACATTGCCACCCTATACCCAAAACTATTGAAAGAGGACCCTCATTGAAGGATCACCAATTATGAATTGAAGGCTGCAGATATAAAATACTGAAATCAATTTTTAAATTACATTAGAATTCAATTTCTCGTGGATTGTTGCTTTACATTCTGACTTCGTATTTTAGATTCACCTCAAATGACACTTATTCGCACTTGCCTCAGTAGAAACTTTGTAGAAATGTATAATTATCACCTGTCAGAAGTAAACTGTATTTTATAGAACACTAACCTGCGCAATAACATTGGAGACTTGATCTCATTACTTTGTCATTTTCTTTCCTTGTGTTTTGAGAGTTGTCACCATAGGCCAGTTTACACATTCATTTGTTCACATTTAGCTTGTCTGCATTTCCACTGTAACCACAGACAAGAGCAGGCCGGCCACTGAAGCTCTCAATTTTCCACTGAAACCATGCCGAATTGCTATAGGTCGATAATGAGAGCCGATTACCATTCACCAAGCTGATTTGCTGTTAAAGGTGATGTATTAAACATCAGACTGTACAGCAAACTCTATCAGACACAAGAGCAGGTGCACTCTGTTAAGTACCTTTTCCACATTTAATCCCGTTTAATTTGCAGTAGCCTCTTGTCTGTATTTTATTATATATTTTACCATAAATATATTTTCTTTTACAAAACTATATTTACAAATCAATAAGCTTTACCTGTAAATGTATTCCCTCAATTTAAAGTGCTATCACACATTGAACTCTATTACCTTCCTGTCTGCAAGGTAGTGAGTGTCACAGACATCTCCTAAAAGTCATAATTGCTGCAGCAAATGCTATGAACAATGTGTGTTTCCGTTGAGAAGGAACTCTGGTTAAAATTTTCTAGGGATGTCCCGATACCGGTACTAGCATCGGTATCGGGACCGATACAGGGCATTTTGACAAGTACTTGTACTTGTCAAAATGCCCCGATACAAAGCGCCGAAGCTTGCGCAATTTTTTTTCTTTACCTTCAGGCTGCATGTAAGATACTTACCCGTCCACGATCCCAGAGCGGCGTTCGGCGGCGCCCACTTCCTCAGCGTCACGCTGCCACTCGTCACTAGCTGTCAGAATAAAGCCGCAGGATTTGAAATGGCCGGCGTCTCAGTAATAAGTTCAGACGTTCATTTCCCCCGTCGGCTGTCTCCTTCGGTTGCAGAGTATAAGTCACCGCTCTGCTCTTCCCTCTCACTGACAGCTCAGCTCTACTCGCTGCTCTGCTTCCTCCACACTGTGATTGGTCCTTGCATGTCAGCCTTGCAGACTGTGATACCAGTGACCGTCTCTTATTGTTTCCAATCCTCCCACTGAATTCTCAGCTGACTGCTTCTAACCACTAAACAATTCACCCTGTACGTCGGACTCCTGCTTATCTTAAAGGGACAGTGTACCTTAAGAAAAAGAGTACCAGTAGATGCTTGCCAGTGATCACATAGGATCCTCTTGAGTTCCAGGACTCTCAGTCAAACCTCGTAGGGTACCCTAAATGTGGCAACACAATCAACCGCAAGTATTCGTGACACTTGCATTGCTATGAACTCTTCTCTAATGTTACTTTGCATGGACAGGTAGACAGGCATTTACTTTTTGTTGTTTTTTTTTGTTGTGACATTACCTGTATGAAGAAATACAGATAAAAATAGTGATCACATTACTTTCCCTGTGTAACCTACAGACTGGGGCATTTATAGCAAATCAATCAAATCCTGATGTTAGCCCGTTATCCGCAGCTGAGTTGCATTTATAAAGTGTAAGTTACTGATACTGAAAATTGAATTACTAAGCGTTGCAGAGCAGGGGCGAGTCAAGCTGGTCCGCTGGGAGGAGCTGGGGTCCTAATTTAGCTGGCTGGCGACTGCCCAGAGGACCCAGACAAACGCGGCACCTCTGGGCAGTTGCCGGCCAGCTAAATTAGGACCCCACCTAGAGCTCACCTAACAGCTGTTCAAACTATACCCAGGGTCAGGCTTACAGTATTATATATACAATATATATTGTATTTCCACCCTTGGACAGATTAAAATATAGAAAATCAATCATCATTTAGATCTTTCACATTCATACACATTACCTATATGAATAATATGATTTCTACAGTTACTGTTCTCTGTAACACACTTGCTGTATTTGTGCATTTATAATTCTCTGATGTCTGGAACTCTACATCAGGAAACAATTACAGTAAGTATATTATAAGAGAAATTGGATAAACACATCAGAATAGGTCTTATTCAAAGTACAAAGACTTCAAGGCTAAAGGCTAGCATTGGAGTAATTCACAGAAATGTTTTGATGAAGTCTATTATGTTATTAGAAGAAAAAAAACTATAAAACAGAGCTCAGACATGAAGCGTTTTATAAAGCATAATCGTGATTATTCCATCAATGGTGGCAGAATATGGTATGGATTTTACGCATAGATAAAAATGGTGGTTGTCCCAGCGCTCTCACATGGAGTGGGAAGAGGTTTCAGCCATGTTAAAACTCTGATGGAAACAACTTGGATCTTAAACAGGACTGTCTCTCTCTTCAATCCTGTGGCTGATTAGAGTGGGGGAGAAGTAAAGGCAAGATAAAGGCATTAACGTGAATATGTTAATTTGCCCAGCATATGCAAAGCACACGGCCATGTTTAAAAGCCTGCAATGCTGAAATACCTGTCAGTTCAAACTAAGTTCTACTGGCTGCTGTCATCCGTTCTTTCTGTTTGCTTTTAGCTTTGTGTAGGGCATATGGACTTACACAAAATATGTATGACTTCTGCTTCTTAAACCACTAGTTACCTGGCTGCCATGCTGATCTCAATGGTTTAAATACCTACTGAGTTGCTGACTAAAAGCAATAATGCAGATCAGAGGATGAGACTTCACTTTGTTGAATGCAGGTTGTGGGTCAGTGACTTAAAATAATAAAGTCAGTTTTTTTAAGTAGCGCCCCCTTGTGGCATTAGCGGCATACCATCCCACAACAGAGGGCCTACTGTAGCATGTGGGCCATAAGGTTGCTTCACCTCTTCCTGTGACTGGGGAACTAGTTGCCATATTGCAACCTCCGGGCCACTCAGGTTAAGCACAGCCATGTGGCCCACAACAAGAGATACCAAGACAGCCCTTGCATGGCCCACCTGGTTCCCTTATTTCTGATTTCAGGACAGTGATGGACTCCTTTATGCCCTGCCTGCCTGACACCCTGAGTGTCAACTGGAAGAAGCTCATACACCTATGTTGCTGTTTTCTGACCCTAAATAAATAAAGGTTTTTCCTTCATGCCACTCATGGCATCATGTTCTTCCCAGCTTGCCCCATAACTAAATGTCCTGCTAGGAAAGTGCTTTTATTTTTTTTCTTTTGTAAAATTATAAAATGCAGTATAGGCTCTAAATGATGATAACTTGTGCAATTGTATCCTACTATGATGTATGAGGCACCGGAGATCCAGATCTGAGTCTTTAGCCATAAGATGCACCTTATAAGCTCATATAGTCCATATATCTGGATAGTCCCAGAGCTGAGGCTAAATACAAGTGGTTCTCTTACCGCTACATATTGTCACAGTTCATGGCTCTACTCTCCCCATGCACATTCTCTAGCAGCTTCACTGCTAGTAATTATAACTAACAAGGCGATAGGAAGGCCATCCCAGACTGGCTGAAAACAGGGTGGACCTCCACCCTAAAATGGACACTTGATCCCCTCTTACAAGT